GTAATGACCCTACTTGACGAGAAATAGATGTATATCAATTGTTACGGATGTCCATACTCATGTATATGTTCAGAAAACTAGAATCTGGAGTTCATTATCAGAAAAGACATCCAAAACTATAATGTAGAAACTACACACGCACAATACATATATGCAACACAGCTGGGCTTTTTTTTTTTCAAATGGAGATTGTCATCCATGGAAAATTTATGTACATGAGCAAGCCACTGTCATATATGTAAAGTTAGAGATGACAGTATCCGAAAAAATTGCCATCATGATAAAATCAGCATGAAGTGACATCGATTCACAGGTGACATCGATTTAATGCAAGGGGCTGAAATGTGATGCACTACCATTCATTCTAAGAAGCTCAAACACTGAACAGCGAGTGACAATTCATGCGATATTGCCAAGTTCAAAACTAAGGAAAACAACTTCTTAATTTAAAAAGTGGAAGTCATTTTCCAAAAAAGTAAGGAGGACTATTCTTACCCAAGTGTTTTGATGGATGACCAAGTAAAACAAGGAATTTTTCAAGCATACGCACTCAAGTGAGGACGCATTTTCATTAGGAGACCACAGAATTCTCCGAACAAAACTACCATGAACTGCTCAAACGGAAAAAAATTTTGTTTCAATGCGATTCACAATTAGATATAGAGTCTAGTTGATGCACCAAACTAGCAGTACGTCATCACATACCAATATAAAGCAGGAAAAGCACTCTCACAAATTATGTTTAACCATGAATGAAGCAGACACTATGCAACACCAAAAAGGTGTACAAAATTAGTCCACTCGCTCAAGGTCCTCTCCACATCATCTCTAATATACTGTCATCATCTCTAGTACACATTCACAAAAGATGATTATCCGATGAGATATTCAACTCAATTTTCTCTGGGGAATTTTAATGAACATCTGGCCACCCCCCTCACCACAACAACAAATTCTAGCCGCAACACACCATTCATTCGGAAGCCACCAAATAAAGTACAGCACGTCATTCATTGTGATGTATCGAGTTACGCTAGCACTACCCTATTCATTCGGTCCATTCAATCTAGCAACGTCAAAACCTCAAACACTCAACAGATTTGGCTTAGGCATTTTTTCAAACACAAGGTGAGCAGAAAGCTAAGGGGCAAATATCGATCCATTCGGCACCAAGAAAGTATAAATAAGTACTAGTTATCGGCGGCTCAGTCCGTACCGACTTATTGACAGGAATGTCGAGACATCTACTCTATACTAACTTACGATCTTTCACATACTAACAAAAATACTTCTTTTATTTGATGGGATAATATGCACCTCAGAGGGAGAGGCATTAAAATGACACTTTCAAATCATTTCAAATGCTTAGAAAACACAATTAACAAAGAAACAATGTTTTGAGACAAGCACCAGAACTATTTTGTCAAAGAAGTTGGAACTCCCACGCCCGGAACAGGTGATTTACAAGTTGGAAAGAGCGACCATAAAGTGAGAAGTATCAAAGAATGCTGCACTAACCAAACAAAGGAACTATAATATTGAAAGTCAACCTCATCCTTGCATGACAAAGAAGAGGCAACTACATGGTCTTTCCCTGATCAAACCGAGCAACACGGAAAATTCATAATCCAGACACAAATTTCACTACAGCAACTAGATCCTTATAATAAGACTAGAAAGCACAGTTTAAACAATCACATCAATAAACAAACACAGGAGAACCATCTGCCAATGCTATACCATACAAGGTGAACATAACAAGCGCAAACTCACCATTCTGATAATGCAAATAGAAATTTTCCCTGCTTTATTGAATCTAATTTACAGTCTAATTATTTGCGAGTCATTTACCAAGATCAACCGCAGAACGACAATTACACTTTCAAATTTGGCCATTCAGAATCCTGATCCCAAGTTGACATAGCTCAATGAGGGGACCCCAAAAAATGAATTTTTTATCCTAATTCAAGGAGCTCTAGTATTAGTCCCATGTTGCCAAACGTAAACAAGCTCATCCCAACCTGTACTAGCGAGAAGCCCTTTGACAAGCACGCTCATGTCAACTAAATGTCGTGAATGAAAATATAACTGAGGAAAAAAGACATCACGATCTGAAATATACCTCGCTCGTGGGAGACGACGGCTCGTGGGAGGCGACGGACGTCGCTCATAGGCAGCGGTGGACCTCGCTCGTCGGAGGCGGCGTCGGCGTCGGCTAGGTGGGCGTCAATCTCTGAGCCTGTAGTTTTAATCTAAACCAAGTACTGCTCTTGCATTATTTTTAGTGCAAAAAAGAATTAGTCCTCTTCCATTAGTCGATAGGTACAGTTTCAATCTCTGAAGGCACAAAGCACAGAATTAGAGCTGATGACATCCTTTTTTCGTTTCCCTATAGCTACTCAAATAAACAATCGCAACACAAGATAAGATGTTACAATCCATGTATTTAAACAAATCCATGTGATGGACATGCCATTAATCTCCCTATCTCATAAGTGATTATTTACCTACCAAGAACAATCTGCTCTTTAAATACTGTTTTGCGAGAAATTTATGCCATAGATTTAGATAGATAGAAGAATACATCAAGTAATCTTGCAATAGATGTAGAAAGATTTCAGCTTCTAGGTCCTCGGTTGAAATTTTAGTTGAGCAAGGAATGTTCAACTTTTTCCTCACAAAAGACCCTAACATTAGATATTGGAAGAAAAGAAATGGTTCGACCTGCTTTCAATTCCAAGTGTACTCTTTCGCTTCACAGTTTACCAGAACAAGGCGAGAAGCAGAGGGCGAGTAGCTTTCACGCTTCCGAGCAGAAGAAAGAGCAGCATTCTGCAAGCAACAGGAGAGCAGTTGGCGGTTCATAAATCAGACACCCCTGAAACAGAATGGAAGCGATGAACGGGATGTAGCAAAAGCATTCCCCTTTTCCGGCAATGTGGAATACCTGCCCATATTTAAAATCCTCGAATCTCTTATTACCACCAATACCCCCCAACAAGCTTTTGCACAAGCCTGTAACTAACTTCGGCATGATCAAAAGTAGAATAGATTTTTCTGGTTCTGAATACTAAAGCCGAATGGCTACGACAGTAAGGAATAGGTGATTAACTGACTCACGATCTCTTCTATATGTATCTGATAACATGAAGAAGTAAAGTTAACTTTCGAAGGGAATAAAAAATTTTCTGATATGCTCTTAAGGAATCTGGAATTGCATGAAACTTCAAAAACCTCGAAAAAGGGCCTGAAGTAAACACACACCTGTTCTTATATTTCATATCAGCTTCTCTTTATTACTACACTGGATTCTCAATCCATTCAACTTTTAAGTAAGTTGAAATGTGGATCTCTTAAAGATCGTGGAACAGTGAAAAATTTTGGACCCAAAGCAAACATCCGTCATTTCACCTTAAGAACATTGGCTCCAATCCCATCTTTATAGACAGAAATAAGGAAACAGTCTAAAAAGAGTTTTTAAGTGCTGGAAATTACGCCATCTACCAAACCAGAACATTGCTTTTCTCCCATCACCCATAGTGAAAGTGGTATTGACCCTTCTTGATATAATTCCAACCTACCAAATCTTAAGAACACCAATTAGTATAGCCATGTTCAATAGTTTACTTCATAATTAGCTTACTTTTCTTCGGCAAACCTCCGAAAGCATTCAACAAAAAGAGTGGATTAAGTAAAAAAAATGAAAGTCCTGTGCATAGACATTTGTTCAGGTGGTGATAGAGAACAAGATTTGGTTCTCGAGAGCAGAGCAAAAGGAAGGAAATGGTCTTCAAATTCGCCACCTTTGATCCCGCTCAAGATCCCGATGATTTCAACCATGCTTTTTCTCAATCTCCAGCATCATCACCATCAGCACCACGTGACTATACTGACGGCTGCATCAGAGCTTTAGTCAGCCAGCTCGCCGTCGCTGGTACTTATAGCATTTTAACATTTCAGCCACGACACTCATATGCACTCATGCTCACATTTCTCTCATTTGTGCTTGCGCCCATCATTCGAAAGTGTCCTCTGGCCTATTTGTAGGCTCTGTAAGTCGGTTACTTTTTCTGGACAATACTTGCTGGTTTCTTCTAGAAAACATCATGTAAAGGTGACAGGCAACGTGATTTTGGAAAAGAACGGACCCTAAAAAAAGAAGTGTTCTAAAGGGAGGATGATCATGATGTGCTAAATAGTTCTAGAGAGTCATGTTGGTTATATTTGATCGAGCTCCTAATAATTAATGACCCAGAATTTCATCCATGACAAGCATGCGAATAAAGTAACAACTTGAGAATACTATTTTCCCTGATTAGTTCATTCCTCCGAAAGGTGCTAGAACTTCAATCCCCACTGTTTTTTTTCCCTCTTTGTCATCTTCTCCTTGAATATAGCTCCCAAATATCAGAAAATGCTGACCTATAGGTTGGATTTCTCAGCAGCAGGCATCTTGTAAAGATTTTCCTTGATAATCTACTCATCGATCTTCGGAAGTTGTTATGTAGTACTTATTGGAAAGATTATGGTGTAGAACCTAGGGAAAAGATGCTGAAATTAAAGGATGGACCTTTTAAATATGGCGAACTTTCGAGGATAACGGGGAACTTTGGAACGGTTCTCGTTGAAGGAGGATCTGGAAATGTATATTTTGGCACACTAGAGGATGGCACCGAAGTTGCTGTGAAGGTCTTCTTTTGTTTTTCTATGCGAGGGTCTAGGGAATTTCAAGCCAAGGTTAGATAGAACAAGGCAAATGATGCATATTTAGAAACTTGATCCCGAACTAATGTTGGTATAAGTTACAGTCACATGCTTGCAAGAGCATACCCAAATCACACAGATGGAGAATCCCTAATCAGGTTACCTGACATGAAAGATCTCACAGAAATTTTATGAGTGCTAAAATACTATTGGAGGGGTTGCAGGGGAGCCACGACACTTTGGGTTGGCCAGCGACCGTTTGATTCCTCTGTACCTACTATTCAACATCTCTCTCCTTTCCAACTGCCCCATATGATCATTTCAGAGATGCCATCCCCCCATCTTAAAAGTATTACGAGTTAATTCAGAAAACTTTCACCATTCAGATTGCTAGAAACTGTCAGTATATAATAACCAAAATACTTGCAAGCCTAATATCAAAGCAATACAGAGACGAGAAGTGTACAAGATAACACTAAAGTTGCAGTCCAACAGTATAATCTCCATCACCAGTCTTCCCTCAACCCCTTCTACCAATCCCCAGAAAAGAAAGCAAACACAAACCAACTTCTGCTAGAGGTTGCAGGAATTCTACGGCTCTGAGTTCCTTACTCAACTAGAAGTACTTGGAAAACACAGCATTAATACTTATTTCCTTGTCATTATAAACTTCATGTATCCAGTGAGGACAATCAAGGACTTGCTTCAAAGTAGAGCTTACTTGGTACTTTGAGATTCTGAGAGAGACCAGATGCCGGAAAGTCAGACACGCGCCATGTCGCTTTTCTTGATAATAGATGGCTCTCCCTACGGAAGTGTGAAGAACCAAGTATTCCACACTTCAGGTAAACCTCTGTACGCACGAGCATTAGAGAATGCCAACCCTGCCAAAGGAAATTAATAAGAAGAATTAATTATATAAACTGTGGAGGCAGTTTGCATATGAAAGAGCTAAATTTGACTTTCAGAACATAAAGGAGATACAAGGATATGAAAAACCAACCACACCAATCTCGAAGACTGCATCGTTTATGAAATTCCAAGATCCAACAACCAACACAGGCGCAGAAAAAATCCTTCTTTCAAAATTAATTTTAACCCACTCAACCACACAGAGCATCAGGTATGACTCTCATCGCAACGGTCCGTCAAACCTTTTTCCTCCCTCTCCTCCTCTTCTTCTTCTACGCGCCAATCCCGACACAACCCTTCATCAACCCCAATCCACCAAACTTCCAAACCCCAAAAAAGCAAACACCCATGAGTTGTCTAATGTAACAGCGGCACATAAAAGAACACCCAGAAACATACCCAGCGAGACGCGTGCCTGCCGCCAACCTCTCCAGTCAAAACAGTACATAAAAAAAAAGGATAAAAGAAGGGCAGAGAGAGAGGAGGAAGGAGGGAGGGAGGGGGATTGGAGCGCGACTCACTCGTGAAGCATTATCTCGGAAGCTTGGTTTCCAAACTCCGGAGCGCCACTTGTTGATATGAGCCTTGTCCCCTCCTGCTGCTCCTGCTGCTCCAAGCTTCGTGGCTCGAACTGCAAGACAGAGAAATCGTCGGAGTGAGGCGGCGTCGGCGTCGGGGTGAGGAGACGGACCTCGCTCGTCGGCGTGAGGGAGACGGAGCGCAGAGCGAATTCCAGATCTTGAATTCGATTGGGAGCGCGAAAGAGAGAGAGTGAGCGTGGAGAGAGAGGGCTATTTTTTAAAAAATTTCTCCCAGCTGCTCTGCTCTCAGCTCAGCTCTGCTCTGCTCTGATCTGCTCTGTGCCGTGGGAGCGTGGAGCCTTCCTGACATGTGGGTCCCCTCGGACACGTGTCGCCACCTCAGACTTGTTATTTCTCCACGGTGGAATCCCCAGTGGCACCCAATATTTTCTCCCACAGAACAGCACCTTAACCATCTCGACATACGAAGTAAAACTAGAGCAGAATGATACTTTTCAACTGGTGGTCCTGAACATAGTCATAGTGGATCTGATGAATAGAATGACTTAGTCGGTTATTACCCTTTTCTATATGGGAACTGAAGTTGTTCATTGGCATTTCACTTTGGGAAATCCTATTGGCATGGATCAAGATAATACTGAAGATAACACTGGAAACAATTGAATGCTACTTAGCATTGATTAAGAACACCTACGAGTCCATGACGCACATTTGATGTTCTTTGCAACGAAGAAGGATCCAAGGAAACTACCGCCCTTGTCTCCAGACACGAGGCTCCAGATCGCTGCAGATGTGGCCCGGTGCTTGAACTTCCTCCATAACAAGAAGGCAATACCGCACGGCAACCTGAAGTCAACTAACGTCTTGTTAGAAGCTCTGGACTTCAATGCCATCGTTACAGGCTACAATCTCCACAGATTAATGATGCCGTCTGGCACCATCGAGCAGGAACTGAACTCCGGCGACCTTGGTTACCAACCACCTGAATTCACCAGCTCGAGTAAACCATGGCCATTGCTGAAGTACCATGTCTATGCACTCCGGGTCATATTGTTGGAGCTTTTGACCAGAAGAAGTTCAGGAAAAATAGTTTGTGGCGACCCGGGATCGGTCGACCTGACAGACTAAGTTAGGCGGAAGGAAGGAAAAGGCCCGCAGCAAAGAGTGCTACGACAGAAGTATTCTGGAGGCATATGACAGAGGAGGACTTACCAAGAGCTCTCTATGACATGTTGCAGGAGACTCGGAGTTGCATTCTTCCAGCGTCTGACTGGCCTGACATTAGTAAGACAGTTTTTCGCAGAACTTATTTCTCTTCGGCCATGATGGGCAAGCCAAGCTAATTGATGAATCCGGTCATTCATATTTCCTGTACTAATCCTCATTCTTGTCTATTTTTGGTTTGTCCGCTTAATTCATATTTGATCTTTGCGTTCAATGCATCAATTGATTAGGTCTAGCATATTTAGTTCCTTGCCAAGATTTTTTTTTTTGTTGGTATTCTTCCAGATAAATCATCCAAAGAGCTCCATCTAGATGTAAAGGGAATGATCATTATTCTTTTCATATTTGTCTCTTTTTATTTTTTGGTTGAATATTTGTGACTGCTGCTTTTTGCTTCTGAACCAAATTGTTGGCAATGTTTCTGCCAGATCACTGCGATCCGTCTTCACACCAGAACGGCTGAACCATTACTTTTTGCGATCCTTTCCATTGGTTCTATAACTCGTGTTTCATTGCATTGCGAAATGAACAACATTGGACCAACGATCTACTGTGGATTTTTTCTTTCTTGTTCCTCCTCTTCCTTCTGCTGCAGAAAAAGTCCCACCATCTTGATCAAGCTGGTGTACTATCTCGCTCTGGCCATCCCCCATAATTTGCAGACTGGAGCTTTATCTTGGTCCATAGAATTGTCTGTGAATGCAGACTGTTGGTCCTTTGGAAACCGCAAGCAACTTGCTTTTCTCTGCATTTGAGAAAATTTCAAGAGCACGCGATAGACATTTTGACAGGCACAATTGTACGTAAAACAATGCATGATCAAGTAAGCTGCAGTGATCATGACCTGGTTGATTATCATATCCAAAGGGAAAGAAACATCAACCTAGTTAAGTAAGAGCTTGCGAATGAAGGAAATGATTCCACACTTGTTATTACAAAGATATATCGACCTAGTTAAGCAAGAGCTTGTAAATGAAGGCCCTTGATTTCACTTTGTTATTATGTGGTTTTTTTATTGTGGGGGATATTTCAATGGCCACACGTTTGGGATCTTAACATGCATGGTCCTTGCTTGTCTCCTGCATAGACGCTGGAAGAAGCTTCACATTGACGGACCGGACAAGCTCTTTACTTGACGCCATGAAATATTTTGCCCCAAGTTCTTTTGGAGAAAGTGACAGTGGGAAAGCCAATGACCAAACTGTTCAACACTGGAGATGGCAATGCCATTGAATATAGTCAATAGAAAGGGTTAGTTCTGTCAATTAAAGCGGAATTGCGCATCGTCGTAATTGAGTAAACTCGGTTCAAGATATACCCAAAAGAACGGGGAATGAAAGGGTCAAGAAATGGGATCATGTGGGAATGTTTTCTTCCTGGCTGGTTCTTGAAAAAGTTATGATTCTTCTTATGGGTGCTTAAGAAAACATTACTGATTGACACTCAGACAATGATGTGTACTCCATTCACGTTTTGGTTACTCAGTTTGTCTCGGCTCTTGCACTCAATAAATTGAGGCAGTGAACACAAACAAAGCAATGAGATATCAGCAAATTGAAGTTCCAGAATTGTTGCAAGAAGAAGAGGGGAACTTATCTGAGGGTGCGAGTCAGGTGACATCTTGATTCTGTGTATTGTGATATAATATAGAGATCATCATCATCTCCTCCTCCTCCTCCTGCTTATATATCAACTGTGTGATTTATCTCTGCTTCTTCTTAGTCTTTTCTTATTTATAATCTAATTATACGCCAAAGTCGTGACTAATAATTAGTTTCACCCATAGTTTCGATTGAAACCCGTAATTCACAGGTGAATTCGATTAGGTAGGCGACGCAGTCTTGGAGGTCGCGAGGGAGGGAGAGAAACCGATTCTGAGAAACTCTGTCAAGAATGGCAAGGTTTCCGAGGGGGTAGAGCTTGTGAGGACAAAGTGGTCCGTAGATCGTTGAGAGAGATTGATGAGCTAGTAGTGTCTTCTTCCATGGCTTGCGATTTGCCATGTCGAACATGTTAGTATTTACAAAAGTCACGTGGAAACGCGTTTATAAAATAATATCATGTAAGATTGAAGTCATAATGAATCGTGAGAATATCTTAAAATTAATGATTTTGAAAAGTTTCGACACAAAGCAATGCTTGAAAAGTTTTAGCGCTAACCATATCATAGTTCTGTCACCGTTCGTGTCCTTGACTCTCTCAGCAGTCATATTTTTTAGACTAAAATCTAGTCAGACGTACCCTGATCACACTGCGGTCATTTTGTTAGGAAGTGAAAGACTTTTGCTCTCCGAATAATCAGAAATCAAATCTCATGGTTGGGAATTTACCTACAATGTTATTTCTCAATTGTACTTCTTATTGTGAAATGATCTGATATGACCACGAAATAGTCCTCTTTTTCTTTGCAGATTAATTTATAAGCTATTTCCACCCCATAGATGATTAAATCCATCAGATTTTCACTCACGAGACAGAATTGCCTTCAATTATTTAATTTCAATTTAAAGTGATGCTCCAATTTTATTTGTTTTTCCATCTTTTTTCTAGTTTTTCTATTCATGTAGGATCTAGTTGACATAATTAAGAATATTGCATGTTTTATTTTTGTTTACTGTTCATAGTGTATATTAAATGCATTATGTTTTTTTTTTGTATTTATATTTTACTTTAGCAGAAATTAGCTTGTTGAAGAGAGAAATTTCTATACGATGTCAAGCAAATTTATGGATTGATTCTCAGGTAGAATATACAAAATCTTTGGCATAACCAACTTTTTAACACAGTCACATGTTTATAAATTTCCTATTTTTGTTGTGCATATCACCATCAAATTCTTTTCATTGGTTGTCTTTTATATAGATATACGTATAATAGATTATGATCAGATGAAACAACAGAAACCATCTTTAAAGATTTTTCAAAACAAAATCACAGTCCCCAATGGCTGCTGCCATCTCCCCAAAATGATTGAACCGCAACGCAGATGGTTGTGAAGCAAAGTGTGCAAATGAGTGGAAAAGGGAGGCAAAGCTAGTCTCTCAAGTCCTGGAAGAGAAGGGAGAGTGGTGAGCGGGGAGGTCGGACCACTTACTGTAAAATATAACTAGACTATCATGCAATATTTGGGAAAAATACTATTGTTTTTTAACTTTACAAGGAAAATGTCATGAAATTGATCGGCCTTTTTGCCGGACAATAAAGTTGGTTGCGAGCGAAAAGCTTCATAGATTGCTATTACCATCGCATTGAGTTCTATCTTGGTATATCACTAGTACCTGTCTTCTCAAACGTTTCAGAGGCACAAAAAAAGAAAATAATTTCAAGCTCTATACGACTAAAATCCCCTCTTTCTTTACTTGATAGACAAATTCGGCCTTAATGGTTTTCATAATTGCACAGTTTTCTTCAAATTACAATAATTTTCTTTTGAATGCTTTCCGTCAAATTTAAACTTATTGCCAATTAGAAAATAAAAGCTAATCACTTTTTTTTTATCGTTGCTCTTATAATAACTTTTCTATTCCTCATCCCTCGTACCTAAAAGCTCACTTTCCTGGTGAAGTTTTACTTTTTGATTTCACTTGTCCGAAAATAATTTGAAGTCTATCTATTTTGTATATAAAAAAATTGTGTTTTTTACATGTAAGACGTTATCGGAGAATCTAGATCACAAAAATCATTGGCGTGAAAAAGATACGAACATTGAGGTATTTTGATATTTTTCCGTGGACACTCCATGAATGATATAAATTTTTGTTAATCCAAAATGAATAAAAATTCACCGACGATTTAAAAAAAAAATCTTATTTGATGCAAAGCTTTGTTTTAATTTTTTTTTCCATCTTTCAAGTTTCACGTTGGGAAATGTAACTGTGATTTTGTTTTGAAAAATCTTTAAAGATGGTTTCTGTTGTTTCATCTGATCATAATCTATTATACGTATATCTATATAAAAGACAACCAATGAAAAGAATTTGATGGTGATATGCACAACAAAAATAGGAAATTTATAAATATGTGACTGTGTTAAAAAGTTGGTTATGCCAAAGTTTTTGTATATTCTACCTGAGAATCAATCCATAAATTTGCTTGACATCGTCTAGAAATTTCTCTCTTCAACAAGCTAATTTCTGCTAAAGTAAAATATAAATACAAAAAAAAAACATAATGCATTTAATATACACTATGAACAGTAAACAAAAATAAAACATGCAATATTCTTAATTATGTCAACTAGATCCTACATGAATAGAAAAACTAGAAAAAAGATGGAAAAACAAATAAAATTGGAGCATCACTTTAAATTGAAATTAAATAATTGAAGGCAATTCTGTCTCATGAGTGAAAATCTGATGGATTTAATCATCTATGGGGTGGAAATAGCTTATAAATTAATCTGCAAAGAAAAAGAGGACTATTTCGTGGTCATATCAGATCATTTCACAATAAGAAGTACAATTGAGAAATAACATTAATTGTAAGTTAATTCCCAACCATGAGATTTGATTTCTGATTATTCGGAGAGCAAAAATCTTTCACTTCCTAACAAAATGACCGCAGTGTGATCAGAGGACTTACTCGACGACTTCGCTGCTCGAGCCCGGCAAAAGGAGCTGAAGGCGGAGTCAAGGAGTGCGAGCAAGACATTTCTGGTTGTGCCGAACTGGTTCAGTCCCAGAGAGTTCGTGCATGACCAGAAAATGAGGTCCGAAATAGAGGATATCAACAGTCGATTGCAGGAGATTATCAAACAGAAACATAGCCTGAGCCTGAGGGAGAACGACGCCGACCACTCAGCGTCGTTCCCATCCCAGCAGCAGCGTCATACCACACATTTGCCAGAGCCTTGTTTTGTAGGTAGAGAAAAGGAAAAGATGGAGGTCCTTCGATTGTTGACCAGTGAAGAAGAAGGCATCAATATCATGAATGCGGTCCCGAAAGTGATTCCCATAATAGGGATGGGAGGGGTCGGAAAGACGGCTCTAGCTCAGCAAGTCTATCATGACGATAGAGTCGCCAGCTATTTCGATGTAAAAGCATGGACTTGCGTGTCCTATGACTTAGACGTGGCTGCTATTACAAAGAGGATTTTGGAGAAAATCACCGGTTTGTCTGGCGAAGGCAACGATCTAGATGTGCTCCAAGAAAAGTTGAGGGAACATCTGTCTGGGAAGAAGTTTCTTATCGTTTTGGATGATGTTTGGACCGAGAAGTACGGAGAGTGGACCAATCTCCTGAAGCCTTTCCAAGCCAGAGCTGAGGGGAGCGTGATCGTCGTTACAACTCGTAACCTCCGTGTGGCTTCATTGGCCGGTGCTCCAGCATTGTGTCTAAAGGAGTTGCCTCAAGATGCTTGCTTGACTTTACTGGCCTATCACGCTCTTGGTGCCAAAAATTTCGACGGCCACCCACATCTTAAATCATTAGGAGAGAAAATAGTGATAAAGTGCAAAGGCTTGCCGTTGGCTGTGAAGACATTGGGCGGACTGCTGCGTGCCGATGTCAATCCCCATGAATGGGAAGCCATATCCAACAGCCGAATTTGGGATCTACCAGTAGACAGAAACGAGATCCTTCCCTCTTTGAAACTAAGCTATCTCCATCTCCCCTCTCATCTGAAGAGATGTTTTGCTTACTGCGCGATCTTTCCCAAGGATTACGAAATAGAAAGGGATGAGTTGATCCACTGGTGGATGGCCGAAGGCTTGGTGGATGGAAGCAAAGGAAAGAACCTCTGGAAGACAGGCCTCCTAAAATAACCGATTGACATTATTTCCCCCATTTGGCTCATGAAAGCATTTTGACTTGAAAGATCCGTACAGAAAATTAATAATTATACCATTTTCACTCATGCAAAAGTTTTGACGAAATTACTCGTACACATGATTTTCAAATGGGACAAGAATTGTAATTCTCTGGAAATATTAAAGTGCTTGGCCGGCTTACCCCACCAAAAAGATTTTCACATTAACTTTTAGCTTTTCAAAGTCATGGGCCGCATAGAAAATTTTTCCACAATACACTATTGAACTTCTCGTACGCTATCAGACACTCGCTCATTGCCCCTAAGCGTCTCAGAGCCCGACTCATGGTTTAAGCTTGGTTCTGTGTCGCTATTCTCATTGTATTATCACTTTGCTCGTCTTTTCTTTTCATACATCGAGTGAATATCTCAGTTCTTCGGTCAGTTTCCAACGCAACCATTGGTTTAAGCAAATATTGAGAGGAGACAACAACAAGAGGGGGGAAAAAGGAATTTCTAGAATTTATAGAAGAAATTATGGCTGAGACATATGCTACCTCCGTTGCAAAGAATCTTGCATCGAAACATGGTGAGTACGTGATTGCTCACATTGGACGTCAATTTCGGTACGTGCTGTACTACAAGAGCTACGTCCAAGATCTCAAAAATAGAGTGAAGGAGCTAGAGATTGTGAGGGAAAGGGTGCAATGCTTGGTCAATGAAGCCGTGTATGACGGAAAACCTATACACATTGATATTAAGAATTGGCCGGAGAATGTGGAGAATAAGGTTGAGGAAGCAGAAAACCTGTTAAAACAAGGCGAAAGTGCAAATATTCCTTGCTTCCGTGGGTGGCTTCCCAACCCCATGGTGCGCCATCCAATTGGCAGGAAGGTGAAGAAGACGACTCAAGTCATTCAGGGACTCCATAATGAAAGCGCAAATAGTAAATTCCAGAAAGTCTACTATGAGAATACTCCGATAGGAATCGTCACTGCTAACACTTCCACAGTAAGATCTGTTGACAACAAAGAAGACGTCCTAGAGTCGAGGGCTTCAATCATAGAGGATGTAATGAAGGCTATAGTTGATGACAAGATCTATGTGATTGGGGTGCATGGACCAGGTGGGGTTGGCAAGTCCAAGCTTTTGGAGGACATTGAAAGGCGAGTGAAGGAAGAGAAGCTATTTGATGTGGTTGCCAAGGCAAACATATCATGCAATCCAGATATAAAAAGAATTCAAGGAGAAATCGCATATGCTCTGGGTCTAAAGCTAAAAAGCTATGCAACCTGTGGCGAGTATGAAAAGATGGCTCCTCAATGGTTGAAATCCTTAAATAGATTGAAGTTCTACATGTTCGTGTGTGCCCTAGTTTATCAATCATATTTCCATCTCCGACTTCATCCCAAAGCTTGGGACATTTGCATGTAGAGAATTGGGCCGGCTTAGTTCGTATCGGGACTTGCTCAGTAGTGACAAGTCTGGTTCACCTTGCTGAACTAATCGTAAGAGATTGTGGTGCAATGGAAGACGTGGCAACAGATGATGGAAATGGACCAGAGGAGATCTCTTTCCCCAAGCTGCAACTGTTGATACTTGATGGCTTACCAAGCCTTGAGAGCTTCTCCCCCACGAATTGCGACTTCAGGTTCCCATCATTGGTGCATATTATTGTGATGCGGTGCCCCAAGATGAATATATTTTGCAAGGGTACCTTGAGGACACCAAAGCTAGATAGAGTACTCCTTTCCAACGAGAATAATGAAGGGCGTTGGGAGGGTGACCTTAATACCACCATCCAAACCTTATCGGCATGAAATGATCCACACCAAATTCAGTAAGTCAGGTAAATGTTTTTCTAACAAAAGATGTTATTGTATAAATTATTCCAGAGCTAAAGAGTTCTCCTTAGTCTAATCAAATCCCAAATCTTCCAAATAATACCACAATTCAGAAATTATCTTTAGCAAGTCCTTCAAATACTTGAATCGTTTTCTTCTTTCTTGTTTCTGCATTACTAACATGTTTAGTCCCCCAAATGCCAGCTCCATTTCACTCCAGTTTAGAACTTCAGTAACTTTCCTATTTCGCCAACATATGCAATGTAGCACATATTTACGGAGCTCGAGAATTGCTCGCAACTCTAATCAGTGACCAAGTCTTCAAAAAAGAGGGGGAAAACAAAATCTCTTCATAGATGATGCAACAGTAACCTTCTCATCATTTTCTGGCTTACATCGATATAACAGGTGTAACATTTGTCAAATCATGGAGCTCAATGTAAGAATTTCTTAATGTGGGCTTCATTAATTGAAATTAACTGAATTAGGTTGGTCCAATAAAGATAAGATATATGGTTCTTAATAAGTCTAATATGGGAAATTTGTTTGGTGTGGGAAGTACGGCCCGGCCAGTAATGAGAGGGCCATGGTCGAAGACTCTATAAATAGCGCTCAAGTCGCTCCCCTAACTTGATGATGCACAATTTGACTCACATACGGATTTAGAGAGAACTTTCTTCTCGTGAGTGGCAATCTCATTAGGCCAGTGTTATAACGAAGGGTATAGGGAAGAAGAACTTGAGTTCGTGTTCGGAAACCGTCGCAAATTCCGCGTCAAGTTCGATGGATTCCAAACCAGGTACGCGAATCAACAATTTCTCCATTATCGTGTTTCGGTTTCTGATTATGGTGATCATGAGCATGCCATTTTTGTGGCCAACACTCAATACAAGTCCAACTGCAACTATGTGCCACTCTGTATCATGAACCAAGTGCTTGTTAATGTGTTACCCTTGGTTCTCTCAAAATACTGAATTCTGGTGATGTTTTGCAGATGCTGGAAACCAATAAGATGAGAAATCGGCTTGTCCCATACAGAAGAAGTTGCATTCAAGCTCTTCAGCTTTTCTTGATCATCATCTTGCGCAGTGCGATATTCTCAAGGACTGCTTGGACCTTTTCTTTCTATATTTCTTCTTCCCCTTATTCTGAATAAATTGACATCTTATCCCGTGGGGAATTTGCTTAATCATCGTTCGGACATTTCATTGGATTTGTAATGTAATGCTACCAGCACATACAACCATGAACTGCCATTCTCTTGGCGATTTGGCATGTAGGAATAAAATTTCTTCATCCACTCAAATGGAGCTAGAAGCTTCGCAAGATTCATAACTCGCGAAACTTCCGTGAGTGCACGTGACATTTATTTCCTTAAGCCTATGTTCTCAATTCTTTACTCCATCACTATGAGACGGCATTTTCTTTAGCATGATCGTGTCGATGGTTTTTGCACGTAGATGCCAGAGAAGCTCCGTACCAAAAGTTTGTCATCGGCCTATTTCGCCAGACGCTTTTTTACCAATATAATGGAACTTCACCACAATAACTAGATTTTGTCTTTGGAAATCTATTCCGTTGACACATGAATATCACCGGCGTGCTTCTTGCTCGTCTATTTCGAGCCTAAAATAAGATAAAAAGAGACCAACGCGAAGTTGGAACCGACATGCTTCTTGCTCATCTTTGACGGACACTGACGGAAGCTCTGGCGAGGTCTCTTATTCCCTCACGCGGCCGAGACTAGGGAGAGTTCGACTACCTTCACTTTCCTCTCCATTCGATCTTCCAAGAGAGCCGAAAGGATCTTTGAGTGTCTCGCAACTTCATCGTCATTTTTATTCTCCTCCATTCTCGGTTTCTTTAACTCTACCCATCTGGCCGACTCTTCCTCTGTTCATCTCTTCTGGAGAAACAACTCCAGCTCCATCCGACGGCAACACTCCAAGCAACGACGAACTCTGTGGCGGTGGCCATGACGATCGGCGGGTAGCAGTGATGGCCTGCGCTGCTCTTCTCAACGCCGCAGTTCAGGCGTGTCCCCATGGCTAGTCGCCAGTGACCGACATCTCCGAAGCCTCGCTGTTCCTGTCCTCGTTAAATCAGGATTGCCGCTGAAGTTCGTCTCGGGGGTGATGATTGGGTTGACATTGAAATGTTGTTCTCCCACGTTGTTTTTCGCCTACGATCTTCACTGAGGTACGTCCAAATTTCTAAATAGTTGGTCCACCGCATGTGTATCATGTTTCGTCTGTGGTATGAGGGAATCGATTCGTCCCATGTATGATTGATGACATTGCTTAATTGATTGAACTGGGCATGTTTTGGTATTCTAGGATGTTCAACCTTGGAGGGGAGTCAACGTGAAATACTAAAAATCAGTATCATCTCTGATGACTTGTCAAAATTACACTGGGTGTTTCACCAAGTGAGTTGTAAAAGACTGGAGAAAATTCAGAATGTAGAGTCTAGAAATGGTGCCGAAAAACCATTTGTGAAGAACCCTAATGAATTAAGGCACTGCAATTAGTAAACTTTCGTCTTCTACAGCCACGCATATATGACCTTTCGAATACCAAATAAACATTTATACTTGTATGTACATCATATTGCAAGCAATTGGCAATGTTCATGTTATTTCTCAATTTGATATTTCACGTTAACATCGTCGAGCGTGGAGAATCTAACTCAAGTCTTCTAATTTTTGGGTCAATGTCTCACTCTCTTACCAAGAACTTGGTATGACCCAAGGCCTTGAATTTGGCCCATTACAAGGATTGACTCAAGCCCAAGACATCTTTTGGGATCATTTCTGGGCTTTTGTCAGTGCAAAACCGAAAGCCAGCCCGATAGAAGATAGAAATTATTTTCGTGGGTCATTGAACTTTTGAACCATTTTTCAAATTTTTTTTTTTTTGATAACCGAGGTGTCCGCGCGGCTGGCAAGCTAGGGCTCAAACCAGCGGCGATACCCGACTAGTCCTTGAGGGGGGCTAGCGCAGCATCTCACCGCCACGACCCCCCACTTAAATCACCGATGGGCGAGTTTGAACCCAGGACCTCTCGTGAAAGGAACTGAGCGCAAACCAACGCGTCCACCGATGGGTGGGTAGACCATTTTTCAATTTAGTCACTGTCTTTTCAAATATATTTAATCAGGTCAGTATAGTTATGGTTTTAATTGGGTTGCTCATCCCTTTTCCGAACATGGTCCAACACTGCATTTCACAACGTTAATAATGTGTTTTAACTACAGTCAAATACTTTCATGTCAACGTTTTGAATTTCAACAAATTAGGTAAATATACTTTTCAACGTATGCACGATTTCACAGTCAATTCCTTGGATTTTAATCTTTCTTATCAAGTTCTTGAATAATTACATAAGTTTTCCAATAAGTCCCCCTGAACTTGTCCCAATCAATTCGAGTTGACGCGGCTCTCAACGATGTTGTTTTATGACGTTTTAAAAATATTTTCAGGTGGCTTGACAACTAAGTCAACTTTTTTTCCTCATCATCTCGTATCGATTGGAATTGTTGCTAGATAGGATTTAATTAGAAAATTTACTTTACTTGCATTTATAGATAAAGTATAATTTTAAGGACGTCATTGAAAAACTTGCAAAGTTCAACGACAAAAGATAAGATTTTACCATACGAAAAATGACACTAGTGACCCAAACTAACCCTATCATAAAAATAGAGTGACCTCATCGATAGGTGTTTGAGTGATTACTTTTGTAGCTTATGGGCATTTGGCCCCTTTGTTTGTGGATAATAGCCACCACGACAATAACTAGCCAACATACATATTGACATGGACAACTTACTCTTGGGGTACTAAAATCAAAGAAGAACGTGCATGGGAAGTTTTTTCACAAGAAGAAAGACAAATCATCCATCATCATCATCATCATCTCTTTTGGGGAAAAATTTGTTTTACAAGTCATTGCCATTAGTAGTAGACAGAGCCCATGAATGACCATCATGTGAAGAAAATATTTGTTGCAATGGCAACTTTTGGGAAGAAAGAGATGAGAAATGTAGCATATAGGAATGATAGTCACTCATCGACAAGAATTCCTCTAAAGGTCGACAAAAGATAGCCATCTTGTCTTCCTTCGACTCTTTTTCTTCTCTTTTCTTGTCCGGCATGAGCTCTCCCCTTATTAATTTTACCCTCATTATTCATGTCTCCTCTCTCTCTCTCTCTCTCTCTCTCTCTCTCTCTCTCTCTCTCTCTCTGAGAACTGTGCGAATATTGAACCCAAAAGCAAAAAGTGGGAGAAAATGAGGGGAGAGAAAAGGGAAGATCAGTCTCAATTTGTGAATTGTGGAACTTCATTGATTATCTTTTGGGGCATTTAGCTGAAGAGTCAATTGGACGGCTAGATCACATTGCTTTCGACGTGAATAATGGGGAGCGGTGAATTATGCCCTAGTCAATGTACTTTTTGACTAAGTGTAGTAACTTCAATGACTCGACTTAAACATCTCAGTCTTCCACAGACTCTGATCAGCTTCCGGTCAATGTCCGTCGCTAAGTAGCACTTTTTATCTAAGGGCCATGGCTGTTCTGAAGTGGCGCTAAGTAAACACCACATCGACCCAACAAACATGGGAAAGAAAAGGAAGATGATGGCGCCGTTGAAGATGGACAATATTAGAGATAATAATGTCCATGGCGGTGGCGACGGTGACGATGTTGAGATGGTCTTACGATGATGGTGCGGTGGAGGTGTTGATCGTGATGCTATAGGTGTGTTGGAAATCGGGTGGTTAGCTCAAGATGGTAGAGATGATGGCACTAGTGAGGGTGGTGAAGATGGTGGTGGTGATGGTGATGGTCGTGGTTTCGATAATGGGGGTGCTGTCAACAATTTAGAAGGGTTTTCATGGTAAGAATGGATGAATCTACAGCTCATTATGCATGTTCAAGTAAAATTTGTTGAGATCGTGAGTTCTTTGTAATAACATGTTTATATATTTCAATCAGATCAATGCTTAAATTTCAGGTTGCAGTATTACTTCGATTCCATATCATAACAATCAAAATTTTATACCAAAAAACCAATACAAAACCAAATTAACTTTTTGTTGGGAATGAGTAAGAAGTTTAACTGTGGTTCTAAATGTGGTTTTTTGGCATTTAATATAACGGGATAATAACACAAATAGTCCTCGAACTTTGATTTAATGTGCAATACCATGCCTAAACTTTTTATTTGTTTAATGTGGTTCCTAAACTTTAGTCCAATATGCAATGTCGTCCTTAAACATTTTATTTGTTCAATGTGGTACCTGAACTTTTAGTAAATGTTCAATTTAGTCTCTAGACTATATGAAAATATCCAATGTTATCCTTCTATTAATTCAAGTTACAATAATTTGTTGATTTGATTTCCAATTTGATAAGTTAGAATGGTGGATAAAAAAATAACATTATTTGTAAATTATCCACCTAAGATATTCAACTCAAATTAGGATATAATAATTTCTGTCATCAAACAATAAGGAAATTACCAAAAAAGTCATAAACCTATTACACTTGTGCCAATTCAATCTTAAACATTTCAATTGTACCAATTAGTCCTAAACGTTTTGCCAATTGAGTTTATTCGGTCAATTTTGAATAGAAATTGATAACGTGGTCATTAGCAGTCCTATGTCGCACGGCCGGCACTGGGAAAAGTGCCAATTCAGTCCTAAACCTTTTGCATTAGTGCCAATTTAGTCCTAAACCTTTTTTTGGTGCCAATTCAGTCCTAAACCTTTTGCATTTGTGCCGATTTAGTCCTAAACCTTTTTTTGGTGCCAATTCAGTCCTAAACCTTTTAAATTGGTGCCAATTCAGTCCTAAACCTTTTGTTTTTATGCCAATTTAGTCCTTCCGGTCAATTTTGACCGGAATTTGCCAACGTGGACGCCTGCCGGCCGGCGGCCGGTCACCGGCGCCGATGTGGCGCTGACATGGACAACTTTAATAATATTTTAATATTTTTTTGAATTTTTATTTTTTTCCTTTTTATTCTTTTTTTTCCACTTTTTTTTTTGGTCCCCCCCTTCCTCTGGCCGGTCGCCGGTCCGGCGACCAGCCAGAGAGGCCGGCGAGCTCGAGCTCGTCGGCCACTGGCGAGGCTCGCCCTCACAGGCCACTGGCGAGGGTGGCCTCGCCCGGCGAGGCCAAACCTCACCTTGGTCGGGCAAGGCTCGACCTCGCCAGATCCGACGAGGTCGGGCCTCACCCGACCATGGCGAGGCTCGCCCTCGCCGCAGCCACCGGCGAGGCCCGACCTCTCCAGATC